CACACTCCACTGGCTTCCAGTTGAAGCTCGCATCCGTTACAAGACCATGGTGCTTGCCTATGGAGCAGTGAGGGGAACGGCACCTCTGTACCTTCGGGCTCTGATCAGTCCCTACACCCAAACGAGGGCATTGCGTTCATCCACCTCTGGCCTGCTGGCTCCCCTTCCTCTGCGGAAGCATAGTTCCCGCTCAGCCCAGTCAAAACTGTTCGCTGCTCTGGCACCCCAATGGTGGAACAAGCTCCCTCACGACGCCAGGACAGCGGAGTCACTCACCACCTTCCGGAGACATTTGAAACCCCACCTCTTTAAGGAATACCTGGGATAGGATAAGGTAATCCTTCTACCCCCCCCCCCCCCCCCCCCCCCCCCAAAAAAAAAATAATTGTAAAGTGGTTATCTCACTGGCTATAGGGTGAATGCACCAATTTGTGAGTCGCTCTGGATAAGAGCGTCTGCTAAATGACGTAAATGTGCCCTTGAGCAAGGCACTTAACCCTAATTGCTCCTGTAAGTCGCTCTGGATAAGAGCGTCTGCTAAATGACTAAAATGTAAATGTAAAATGTAAGTCTGTGAATCCCCAAAATGTTATTCATACAGATGATTAACAAAATATGCACACACCAGAATTTATACCTTGGTTTTTGTGGTGAATGTGAATGAAAATAACTGTTTTCATAATGTTTTCATACAAATACCTTGTCCATAATGTAGAGGCCTATGGGATATTCATTGAAGAGGTAAGGGAGGAGGATGGTAAATGTGATCAACATAACATACCAATACAAATTGACATACCTTTGTATGCCTCCTCATCTGTATACCTGCAGACACAGACACAAAAGTGAGCAGTTCAGTCATCTGCACCCAATACAGCCCTCTTTTAACATATTCTTATAGCCTACAAATTCTTACATCTGTGTTGATTGATATCCATTGAATTGTGTCCATTTTCTGTTAGAAAGATTTGCACAAATATGAAAAGCTCGATGGTATCATCATCAAACAATATAAATTTAGATCATACAAGGGACTTACCTTAAATTGAGGAGATCTTTACATTTTCCAGTTAAGTGCATGCACCTGCTGCCCTTTCAAATCCAAATGTTTCAGTTGGGCAGTTAGGTTCCTGCAAGAACCCCCACCAACTAAGGAGGTTCCTCGATGAACCACACCTCCTATGGGGTTCTTAGAATAACCTTTTGGGGGCCATTTTCAGTGCCAAGAACCCTAAGGTTCTTTGAATAACTTTTTTTAGAGTGTACATTCACATGCTCATCACAGTGGGCTACTGACTCGAGTCATCCTCTACTTGACAATTATTAAAGTTAAGTGCTAGGAATAGGAAAATGACCCCTGGTTTTGAGCAGAAGTTACCTGAACCCGTTTCCATGTGAAGGGGTTCCAGTTAAAAATGCATTACCCTCTTGTCTGCTGTATAATGTCACGTGAGGTAATTCTCTAGGTCATTGAGGAGGAGAAGAGGACCAACAGAGAGAAACTGACTGAGGCGAGGGTTACATGTACAACAGGAGACAACATGAATGAGTTAGGCCTGATCATGTTGTTATTATCACAGAATATGAGAATGGCAGACCCTTCTAAAGCAGGATGATGACGAGGTGAGGTGATGTCTTTGGTTTGTGGCATAGAGTAGCGACCAGTTATGACTTGACAAGACAAGACAGGTGTCTTCGGGGCCATACTTGCGAACATTAGAAAAAGTTTAAGTTCAAGGTTAAGTTTAAGCATCAGCCAATTAAAATCATTGACGTATTTTCACATGATCAAAGGCTTTTTGTTAGCTGTTCCCATTACATTAGCTTTCACATTTAACCCTATGTTAACGTCAGATGATTTACTGTAACAAATTGCACATCATTCTATCAAAGATCTTAAACTTTTACTTGACAAACCAATGGCATTTCTTAAAATAGGTCAACTTCGCCACCAGAGGGATACATATAAACGTCCAAATTCAAGATTTTATTTTGTGCCCCTTCACTTCGTCTGTCTCAAGTGTAGAGTGCCAATATTGCATGATCATCACATCCTTGACTAGGATACTATTGTTACTTCCGTTTTCACATATATCACAAAATCCTATGTTTTTGCTTATCAATTTCACATACATCCATTTGCTTGTACGGAGAAAAGACAAAGGAGGTCTACACAACATTTACATGAATTGTATATTGTTAAAAAAAGTAGTCTAAGAGCCTTGTGGACTTGTCAAATATCTGTTATGCACCGTAACCATCATTGCTTTCCTTGTTGCACACAACGCTGAAGCAGTTGTCTCAAAAACGACAGTGCTCATTAATCGTGGGTTCGAGACCCCTCACTTCGAAAACACTGTTCACTGTGTAGGCTATGTGTCGGTCTGTTTTTTTTCACCTGGTCACAGACACCTGATTTGCTGTGCAATGACGTCTGCAAGCGAAGGGAAAAGGTGAGAGGAGGAGAGTGCGTAGATGCGAGAAGAAATTATACAACAAGCAAATTGATCATGCTGTTTGTATGTCGCTGCTATGAACTGTGTTTGCATGTGATCAGGGGTGTATTCATTCCGCCGATTCTGTTTAAAAACGTTTCTTAAACGGAAGCAAACGGAACCGAATGGGGATAAACATACCTGAATTTGTCAAATAGAAACTCTTGTTTGCAACTGTTGGACTAATGATTACACCCTAGATCAGCTAGGTGCAGGCAAGAGTGTGCAAAGCGGTATTGAATGTGTCACTTTCTGTCACATTGATTACAAAAAAAATTATCTTGACCTGTGCACCTAAACTTTAATTCATAGCTTAGGTTGTAGCAGCAATCTCATGATGGGTATAGGGAAAATCGGAGTATCATGTAGTAGCCCAAACCTATCGATGTTAGATTGAGCTGGGTGAATGGAATATGAATGACAGTTGTCCAATATGCTGTAATAAAAATAAGGCCCATCATTATTTTTATCATCCTCCCTCATCTTAAACGGCGCCGACCGCCACTGACGTGTACATCCCCCCCCCCCCCTCCCCGGGGCCAGACTGGACCAGGGGCGCTATGGGGGGTGTATTGGAGGGTGGTGGTCAAGGCCGGAGCCAGAACCGCCGCCGAGGAGGTATGCCCGCCCAGCCCTCCCCTGGTTTGTTTAGTTGAGGTGCGGTCGCAGTCCGCGCCTTTAGGGGGGGGTACTGTCACACCCTGGCTCTGGGACTCATTATGTTGAGCCAGGGTGTGTTCATTTCTATGTGTGTATTTCTATGTTGGTGTTCATTCTAGTTTGTTGTATTCTATGTTTGCCTGAGTGACTCCCAATCAGAGGCAACGAGTGTCAGCTGTTGGCTGGTTGTCTCTGATTGGGAGCCATATTTAAACTGTATGTTTTCCCTTTGTGGTTGTGGGTTTTTGTTCCGTGTTGGTCTTTGTTACCAAGGACGTTACGAGTCGTTTGTTGTTTTGTTTCGTGCTTTATTAATAAAGTAACATGTTCGTTCATCACGCTGCGCATTGGTCTACTTCTCTCCCTGACGATCGTGACACATATAGCTTAGTAGATGTAATGACGTTATATATATGCAGGACTCTACCCTGAGAGCACTTGATTCAGTATATCATGCGGCCCTCAGGTTCATTACCAATCAAAAACGTCTAACACATCTTTTTGATCTCTACAGCGCCGTTGGCTGGTCGTCATTGACCTTGCGTAGGCTTAAACACTGATATGCACTGATTTATAACGCCATACTGGGTAAAATGCCACTTTATCTCTGTTCTTTTTTAATCAGGTCAGTAAATAAATATCAGTTATGGTCCCATTCTCATTTGCTTTTAACAGTACCAAGAATTAAAACAGGTCATGGTAGAAATAGTTTTAGTTACTCAGCTCCGTGGTCCCTGGAATTTTGAAAATTTTAAAATGTGATTACCTAGTCACATTGGTGGAGTTTAAACACTCGGTCGATGTAAATATCATAGAAGAGTGTAATTGTCTTTAAGACAGCTGTTTTTTAGTTATGACATTTGTGTAATATGTAATTGTTGTACTGTATGTGTGTCTATAGTTTTGTTCAATGTTGTGTTAGTGAATGTAAGTTGTTTTGTCTGAAACTTTGTTGCCCCTGCTGCTGTTGGACCAGTTATCTTGAAAAATAGATTTTATCTCAATGAGAAAAACCTGTATAAATAAAGGTTAAATAAAATAAAAAATAGAACCCCACCTAACCCGGCTTAGACAGGGCTTAGACTCTGATGGGTTAAAGGAGCAATCTGGGATTGGTACATAGAGGTCTACATCAAAAGTCAAACATTTTATTTGGAGGACCTTGAACAAGGATTCATCTGGAATGTATCACTTAGCTGAGTAGTATTGATAAATCTGGTTAAAAAAAACTAGAATGGTTGAATTTAGACAGTGAATAAGTGTGTCCCAATATCTATTTTCATTCTATCTATTCACTACTTCCCACAAGCATTGGATAGGTGGAAGCATGGGCTAGTGGCCTTTCTACCATATATATTTCAAATCAGTAAAGGGAAGTGAACAAGTGCACACTTTGGGAGGAAGAAGAGATAAGTTGATAATATAATTGGAACATAGCCCTTGTAAACAACCATAGGAAGTGGAATCAGATTTGAGGAGCAGTTAGAAACCACAAGGCCCGAGTGACAGTGTTTCACTTCACATCTTCATCTCTGCTCCAACTGAACACAATCATCTTCAGGTTCAACAGAGGACACATCAGAATCATCATAGAAATGTCTCTAGGCTCTGTTGTCATTCTTTACTCACTTTATTTAAGTAAGTGTGTGTCCATCACGTACAATATAATTTTTTTGTACAGTGCACCCTGGTCATTGAGCAACTGGAAATGGCTGGAGGAAAGTAGTGTCTCTGTCTGAATTTAAGTCTATGATTGATGCAAAGATTGTGGACACGTAATTGCTTTTAACTTCTGATAATATATTTTTGTCTCAGTGTGTTGTTGTTGCCATTTTGTCATTGCAGTGTCAGTGGCTGGACAGATGTTATTGCTTAAGAAACCGAAACAGCCTGTCTCGTTCAGCTGCCAAAAAATTGATCCGAATTGCAATTATGTCTACTGGTACCAGAAGAAGGAGGGAGAACCTTTAATCTTGATCCTCCGGATCCAAAAGGGTTACTGCACTGTCTATTCAAGTTACAACCATCCTCAAAAAGATGACTTCTCAGCCATGAGACAAAGTAACAAATGTATTCTGAAGATCAAGTCAGTTAAAGTGTCTCATTCTGCCACCTACTACTGTACCTGCTGGGACTCGGGAACCCACAGTGAGAACTGATCCACACAGCCTGTCCAAAAACTCTGTGGTTTTAATCAAGCTGTGAATTCATGATGGGAAAAAAAATGCTCCACAGCAAGTGACATAATCAGAGGTTAGAGTGGAGTGTCTTCTAAGCTAACTTTTGGAATTGTAGACACGCATTGAATAACAGATTCACTACATGGAACAACATACATTCCCAAAAAACAACTGATGGAAGTTTGTTCTGAATTGTCTGTCCTATATCTGAGATATATAAGAAAGATCAGGAAACAATTTTATTTTTGAACATGTATTTAGCCCCTTATTTTAGGGACTAAACTTTCTCCATATATACAGTTGAAGTCGGAAGTTTACATACACTTAGGTTGGAGTCATTAAAACTCGGTTTTCAAAAACTCCACAAATGTCTTGTTAACAAACTATAGTTTTGGCAAGTCGGTTAGGACATCTACTTTGTGCATGACACAAGTAATTTTTTCAACAATTGTTTACAGACAGATTATTTCACTTATAATTCACTGTATCACAATTCCAGTGGGTCAGAAATGTACATACATTAAGTTGACTGTGCCTTTAAACAGCTTGAAAAATTCCAGAAAATGATGTAATGGCTTTAGAAGCTTCTGATAGGCTAATTGACATCATTTGAGTCAATTGGAGGTGTACCTGTGGATGTATTTCAAGGCCTATCTTCATACTCAGTGCCTCTTTGCTTGATATCATGGGAAAATCAAAAGAAATCAGCCAAGACCTCAGAAAAAAATGGTAGACCTCCACAAGTCTGGTTCATCCTTGGGAGCAATTTCCAAACGCCTGAAGGTACCACGATCATCTGTACAAACAATAGTACGCAAGTATAAACACCATGGGACCACGCAGCCGTCATACCGCTCAGGAAGGAGACGTGTTCTGTCTCCTAGAGATGAACGTACTTTGATGCGAAAAGTGCAAATCAATCCCAGAACAACAGCAAAGGACCTTGTGAAGATGCTGGAGGAAACAGGTACAAAAGTATATATATATCCACAGTAAAACGAGTCCTATATTGACATAACCTGAAAGGCTGCTCAGCAAGGAAGAAGCCACTGCTCCAAAACCGCCATAAAAAAGCCAGACTACGGTTTACAACTGCACATGGGGATAAAGATCTTACTTTTTGGAGAAATGTCCTCTGGTCTGATGAAACAAAAATAGAACTGTTTGGCCATTATGACCATCGTTATGTTTGGAGGAAAAAGGGGGTTGCTTGCAAGCCGAAGAACACCATCCAAACCGTGAAGCACGAGGGTGGCCGCATCATGCTCTGGGGGTGCTTTGCTGCAGGAGGGACTGGTGCACTTCACAAAATAGATGGCGTCATGAGGAAGGACAATTATGTGGATATATTGAAGCAACATCTCAAGACATCAGTCAAGAAGTTAAAGCTTGGTCGCAAATGGGTCTTCCAAATGGACAATGACCCTAAGCATACTTCCAAAGTTGTGGCAAAATGGCTTAAGGACAACAAAGTCAAGGTATTGAAGTGGCCATCACAAAGCTTGGACCTCAATCCTATAGAATATTTCTGGGCAGAACTGAAAAAGCATGTGCGAGCAAGGAGGCCTACAAAAATGGCTCAGTTACACCAGCTCTGTCAGGAGGAATGGGCCAAAATTCACCCAACGTATTTTGGGAGCTTGTGGAAGGCTACCCGAAAAATTTGACCCAAGTTAAACAATTTAAAGGCAATGCTACCAAATACTAATTGAGTGTATGTAAACTTCTGACCCACTGGGAATGTAACGAAATAAATAAAAGCTGAAATATATAATTTCTCTACCATTATTCTGACATTTCACACTCTTAAAATAAAGTGGTGATCCTAACTGACCTAAGACAGGGAATTTATACCAGGATTAAATGTCAGGAATTGTGAAAAACTGAGTTTAAATGCATTTGGCTAAGGTGTACATAAACATCCGACATCAACTGTACACTACATCCAAAAGTATGTGGACACTTGCTCGTCTGACATCTCATTCCAAAATCATGGGCATTAATATTGAGTTGGTCCCCCCTTTGCTGCTATAATAGCATCCACTCTTCTTGGAAGGCTTTTCACTAGATGTTGGAACATTGCTGCAGGGACTGGCTTCCATTCAGCCACAAGAGCATTAGTGAGGTCGGGCACTAATTTTGGGGGTGATTAGGCCTGGCTTGCAGTCTTTGTTCCAATTCATCCCAAAGGTGTTCATTGGGGTTGAGGTCAGGTCTCTGAGCAGGCCAGTCAAGTTCTTCCACACCGATCTCTACAAACCATTTCTGTATGGACCTCGATTTGTGCCCGGGTGCATTGTCATGCTGAAACAGGAAAGGGCCTTCCCCAAACTGTTGCCACAAAGTTGGAAACACAGAATCATCTACAATGTCATTGAATGCTGTAGCATTAAGATTTCCCTTCACTGGAACAAAGGGGCTTAGCCTGAAACATGAAAAACAGTTCCAGACCATTATTTATCCTCCACCAAACTTTACAGTTGGCACTATGCATTCAGGCAGGTAGCGTTCTCCTGGCATCCACCAAACCCATATTCCTCCATCAGACTGCCAGATGGTGAAGCGTGATTCATCACTCCAGAGAACGCCTTTCCACTGCTCCAGAGTCAAATGGCAGCGAGCTTTAAACCACTCCAGCCGACGCTTGGTATTACGCATGGTGATCTTCGGATTGTGTGCGGCTGCTCGGCCATGGAAACCCATTTCATGAAGCTTCCGACTAACATATCTTGTGCTGATGTTGCTTCTAGAAGCAATTTGGAACTCGGTAGTGGGTGTTGCAACCGAGGACAGATGATTTTTACGCGCTACGCGTTTCATCAGTCGGCAGTCACGTGCTGTGAGCTTGTGTGGCCTACCACTTCATGGCTGAGCTCCTAGACGTTTCCACTTCAGAATAACAGCACTTACGGTTGATCGGGGCAGCTCTAGCAGGGCAGGAATTTGACGAACTTACTTGTTGGTAAGGTGGCATCCTATGACGGTGTCACGTTGAAAGTCACTGTGCTCTTCAGTAAAGCCATTGTACTGCCAATGTTTGTCCATGGAGATTGCATGGCTGTGTGCTTGATTTTATACACCTGCCAGCAACGGATGTGACTAAAATTGCCGAGTCTACTAATTTGAAGTGGTGTCCACATACTTTTGTTTATATATAGTGTATTAGTGTGTAGCCCAAACCGTTCGGACGCTACAGACAGAAGTTGGCAGAAGTAGGCTAAGGGAGGGAATTTAACCCCCTAGAGTCGATGTCCACACCCCAGAGGAAATCTAATCTAAAAAAATCCCAATCAAAATTCCGTCTCAATCACCGCATCTGCCAACAGAGGCTAAGCTACAGCTGTGTTTGTCAGACCATGAGACAAAATCGGTCTTCTCATGAAAACATCCGTACAGTTTGGGCTACATGGAAAGGTGAGAGCCGCACGAACACGTACACGTCGGTTGTTTTGCTCTAGGACACCCACAAGCCTCACAAAACTTGTCCGAAGGTAGCTCAGTAATTAATTTGCATTTTATTGCATGACATAAGTATTTGATACATCAGAAAAGCAATACAGACTTTCAGCTCCCTCCAAAGATTTTTTATTTGGTTCAGGTCTGGAGACCGGCTAGGCCACTCCAGGACCTTGAGATGCTTCTTACGGAGCCACTCCTTAGTTGCCCTGGCTGTGTGTTTCGGGTCGTTGTCATGCTGGAAGACCCAGCCACGACCCATCTTCAATACTCTTACTGAGATCTCGCGAAACATGGCCCCATCCATCCTCCCCTCAATATGGTGCAGTCGTCCTGTCCCCTTTGCAGAAAAGCATCCCCAAAGAATGATGTTTCCACCTCCATGCTTCACAGTTGGGATGGTGTTCTTGGGGTTGACTCATCCTTCTTCTTCCTCCAAACACGGCGAGTGGAGTTTAGACCAAAAAGCTCTATTTTTATCTCATCATACCACATGACCTTCTCCCATTCCTCCTCTGGATCATCCAGATGGTCATTGGCAAACTTCAGATGGGCCTGGGCATGCGCTGGCTTGAGCAGGGGGACCTTGCGTGCGCTACAGGATTTTAATCCATGACGGCGTAGTGTGTTACTAATGGTTTTCTTTGAGACTGCGGTCCCAGCTCTCTTCAGGTTATTGACCAGGTCCTGCCGTGTAGTTCTGGGCTGATCCCTCACCTTCCTCATGACAATTGATGCCCCACGAGGTGAGATCTTGCATGGAGCCCCAGACCGAGGGTGATTGACCGTCATCTTGAACTTCTTCCATTTTATAATAATTGCGCCAACAGTTGTTGCCTTCTCACCAAGCTGCTTGCCTATTGTCCTGTAGCCCATCCCAGCCTTGTGCAGGTCTACAATTTAATCTCTGATGTCCTTACATAGCTCTCCGGTCTTAGCCATTGTGGAGAGGTTGGCATCTGTTTGATTGAGTGTGTGGACAGGTGTCTTTTATACAGGTAACGAGTTCAAACAGGTGCAGTTAATACAGGTAATGAGTGGAGAACAGGAGGGCTTCTCAAAGAAAAACTAACAGGTCTGTGAGAGCCGGAATTCTTACTGGTTGGTAGGTGATCAAATACTTATGTCATGCAATAAAATGCAAATTAATTACTTAAAAATCATACAATGTGATTTTCTGGATTTTTGTTTTAGATTCTGTCTCTCACTGTTGAAGTGTACCTATGATAAAAAGTACAGACCTCTACATGCTTTGTAAGTAGGAAAACCTGCAGTGTATCAAATACCTGTTCTCCCCACTCTATATGGGTGGAAAGATATATACAAATAATTTCCTGATCTTTCTTAAATCTCACAGATATAGGACACACACTTTAAAACAAACTTTATTTTGATAAAATAATTGTACTGTCTGTTTTTCCATGTATGAATCTGTTATTAAATGTGTTTCTATGGGCTAAAAGCAGTAAGGCCAAATTAAATGTTTCATCAAATAATTTATTTACATGTACAGTCCCAGTCAAAAAGTTTGGACACACCTACTCATTCAAGGGTTTTTCTTTATTTTTACTATTTTCTACATTGTAGAATAATAGTGAAGACATCAAAACTATGAAATAACACATACAGAGTCATGTAGCAACCAAAAAAGTGTTAAACAAATTAAAAAATATTTTATATTTTAGATTCTTCAAAGTAGCCACCCTTTGCCTTGATGACAGCTTTGCACACTCTTGGCATTCTCTCAACCGGCTTCATGAGGAATGCTTTTACAACAGTCTTGAAGGAGTTCCCACATATGCTGAGCACTTGTTGGCTGCTTTTCCTTCACTCTGCGGTCCAACTCATCCCAAACCATCTCAATTGGGTTGAGGTCGAGTGATTGTGGAGGCCAGGTCATCTGATGCAGCAGTCCATCACTCTCCTTCTTGGTCAAATAGCCCTTACACTGCCTGGAGGGTCATTGTCCTGTTGAAAAATAAATGATAGTCCCACTAAGCGCAAACCAGATGGGATGGCGTATCGCTGCAGAATAATGTGGTAGTCATGCTGGTTAAGTGTGCCTTGAATTCTAAATAAATCACTGACAGTGTCAGCAGCAAAGCACCCCCACACCATCACACCTCATCCTCCATGCTTCACGGTGGGAGCCACAAATGCGGAGATCATCCGTTCACCTACTCTGCGTCTCACAAAGACACGGTGGATGGAACCAAAAATCTCAAATTTGGACTCATCAGACCACCGGTCTAATGTCCATTGCTCGTGTTTCTTTGCCCAAGCAAGTCTCTTCTTAATATTGGTGTCCTTTAGTAGTGGTTTCTTTGCAGAAATTTGACCATGAAGGCCTGATTCACACAGTCTCCTCTGAACAGTTGATGTTGAGATGTGTTTGTTACTTTGGGCAAAGAAATTTGGGCTGCAATTTCTGAGGCTGGTAACTCTAATGAACTTATCCTCTGCAGCAGAGGTAACTCTTGGACTTCCATTCCTGTGGCGGTCCTCATGAAAGCAAGTTTCATCATAGCGCTTGATGGTTTTTGCGACTGCACTTGAAGAAACTTTCAAAGTTCTTGAAATTGTCTGTATTGACTGACCTTCATTGCTTATTTGACCAGTTCTTGCCATAATATGGACTTGGTATTTGACCAAATATGGCTATCTTCTGTATACCACCCCTACCTTGTTACGACACAACTGATTGGCTCAAATGCATTAAATCCCACTAATTAACTTTTAACAAGGCACACCTGTTAATTGAAATTCCAGGTGACTACCTCATGAAGCTGGTTGAGAGAATGCCAAGAGTGTGCAAAGCTGTCATCAAGACAAAGGGTGGCTACACGTTTTTGGTTACTACATGATTCCATATGTGTTATTTCATAGTTTGATGTCTTTACTGTTATTCTACAATGTAAGTAGAACCCAAAGCTTACTCTCTTAAAGCTGCAATATATAACTTTTTGGACAACCTGAGCAAATTCACATAGAAATGTGAGTTATAGATCTGTCATTCTGATTGAAAGCAAGTCTAATTAGCGCTAGATCTGTTCTATGTGCGCTTTTTCTATGCTTTCAGTGCTTAAGTTTAGTTTTGGCTTCTTTTACTTTTGGTTTTGTACACCACCTTCAAACAGCTGAAAATACAATATTTTTGGTAATGGAAAATATATTTCACAGCGGTTTAGATGGTACAATGATTTGTCACATAAACTGAAATTAGGCAAACTTTTAGAATTTTAGCAGCCAGGATGTGGCGGAGTTATTTCTGCATAGTGCATTTTAAGGGATGATTGTTCTGATGATATCCTTGGAAATTATACCTTATTATGGGACAAAAATGAAATTATCTTAACTGGTGAACCATTGTACTGTAAACACAAGCCCTCCCAAGACACAATGCAGCCTACTTTTTGTCAAGGAAACTTTCACTGTGTATGTACTTGTATTTGGCTCTGGTACGAGTCTTCATGTGACAGGTAAGAGATCCATTCCTCTGATTTTCAGCAGACAAACAATGCAATAGTCATTAATAATGAATAATTAATATGTCTAATCAATTTCCAAAATAATTGAGAAAACATCCTGAAGTATCGCTTCGCAAATATGCACTCTGCATGATCAATCCATCTTAAAAATAAAAACAAATATTATGAGTTTGAAAGTTTGCTATTAGTCTGTACATTAGATCATTCTGATTTTCAATGAAGCCATCTGCGCAATTTGCAGTATATTGCATGTCATACTCTTAGAGATATACACCCTCAGTTAAATGTGTGATATAAATGTAAAGCAATTTGATATAGGGTAAAATGTTGAACTGTTTACTTAGCTAAAAATCGTATTATTTAAATGATATTTATTTATGTATGTAATTAATTGTTTACTTGAAAATAGACAGTAAAGCTGGACATAAAACAAATGTTGTGGGACATCACGATTCATCTTCACAACAGACTACATCTGAAGTCTGAAAACGTGTGTGTGATGTCCGTTTCAAGACGACTGTAAATGTTATTGTGTCTCATGAAAATCAGACAATCGTGTACGAAAACCCAAAGTGACGGTCTACCCAGCGTCCAACCCTGATTCGAATGTGAAGACCACCCTGCTATGTCTGGCTAGAGACATGTTTCCAGACTTGGTCAAGATCTCATGGAAGATGGAGGATGCAAACGGCCGAACAGTGGAGGCGCCCAAAGCAGAGACGGAGGTCCTGGAGCAGAGGGAGAAAGGACAGACGACCAGTATGATCATCATTGATGAAGAGAAGGCGTACAGGAACAAATACATATGTTCTGTGGAGCATAACGGGGTCACTCAAGATGTTGACATACGAAAAGGTAAAGCCAGTCATTGAAATAGTTTTACATGAGTATGTATTATGTTTTTTCATACATTATTATTCATGTAATATTTATCCATTTAATATATTTATGAGTAAGCTATCATGTATTCAACCATGTAAAAAATGCATATTACCTTTTCAAAATAAAAAATTAAGTCCATAAAAATTGGACTAACACTTGGTAATTGCACTGGAATGTTGTATAGTTAGTTTCACAAGTTTAAACAAATCACCTTTTTTTGCATAACTATTATCCCTGACATTAGCCTACATAATGCTCTGAAATATATTATTTGATATATTTTTCCATGTCATTCTCAGAGGAACCAACTAAAGCTCCTCGAACCACCGTGGCTGCACCAACCACTCTGCACGTTACCTATGGTAGGATTGATGTGTATTTCATGCAGGGTTGGGGCCAATTCAAACACAAAAATCGTGTATACAAAACATTAAGAACACCTGCTCTTTCCACGACATAAACTGACCAGGTGAATACTATGATCCCTTATTGATGTCACTTGTTAAATCCACTTCAATCAGTGTATATGAAGTTGAGGAGACAGGTTATAGAAGGATTTTTAAGTCTTGAGACAATTGAGACATGGATTGTGTATGTTTGCCATTCAGAGGGTGAATGGGCAAGACAAAATATTTAAGTGCCTTTGAACGGAGTATGGTAGTACGTGCCAGGCACACCAGTTTGTGTCAAGAACCACAACACTGCTGGGTTTTTCACGCTCAACAGTTTCCTGTGTGTATCAAGAAAGGCTGTTCTGAGGGCAAACGGGGGTGTGGGGGGTGCAACTCAATATTACAAAAGTGTTCCTAATGTTTGGTATACTCAGTGTATATTTTATATGAGTATCGTGTTCAACCATCTAAAAATGGCATATAAGCTTCTCAAAGAAAAAAAAAGAAAGTTCATAGAAATGTGACCTTACACTTGTTAATTGCATAGGAATATTGTGTAGTTGGTTTTGCAAGTTTAAACAAATCACCTTTTTTTGCGTAACTGTTATCCCCAACGTAATCTCCAACGAAAACGCCATACATGGCCATAACTACATCAACAGAGATATGTCATGTCTGATATTTTGTTATTAATTATGTCTGACACTAGATAATGCTCTGATAATTATTTTTCATTCTCAGAAGATCCAACTGAAGCTCCTCCATCCACCAAGGCTGCACCAACCACTTTGCAGGTTACAAACGGTAAAATTTATGTGGATTTCAAGCAGGGTTGGGGTAAATTCAAAAACAAAAATTGAAAAGGGAAAAGAAAGAAAAATATGAGTGCCTGGATAATTATTCACACTTCCTGATTTTTTCTACATTTTGTTGTGTTACAAAGTGGGATTAAAATAGATTTAAATGTCATTTTTATGTCAAGGATCTACACAAAATACTCTGTAATGTCAAAGTGCAAGAAAAATTGCAACATTGGTCAAATAAATTATGAAAAATATAACACTGATATATGTTGAGTAGATGTATTCAATACCCCCTGAGTCAATACATGTTAGAATCACCTTCAGCAGTGATTTAGCACACCTGGATTGTGCAACATTTGCCCATTATTCTTTTCAAAATTCTTCAAGCTCTGTCAAATTGGTTGTTGATCATTGCTAGAAAACTATTTTCAGGTATTGCAATAGATTTGTAAGCAGATTTCAGTAAACACTGTAACTCGGCCACTCAGGAACATTCACTGTCTTCTTGGTAAGCAACTCCAGTGGAGATTTGGCCTTGTGTTTTAGGTTATTGTCACTGCTGAAAGGTGAATTCATCCAGTGTCTGGTCGAAAGCAGAATAAAACAGGTTTTCCTCTAGTATTTTGCCTGTGCTTAGCTCCTTTCCATTTATTTTTTATCCTGAAAAACTCAGAAGTCCTTAGAAATTACAAGCATTCCCATAACATGATGCAGCCACCACTATGCTTGAAAATATGGAGAGTGATACTCAGTAATGTTGTGTATTGGATTTGCCCCAAACATAACACTTTGTAAACAGGATGCATGTTTTGGAATATTTTTATTTCTTTACAGGCTTCTTTCTTTTCACTCTGTCAATTAGGCTAGTATTGTGGCGTAACAACAATGTTGTTGATCCATCCTCAGTTTTCTCCTTACAGCCATTAAACTCTGTAACTGTTTTAAAGTCACAATTGGCCTCATGGTGAAATCCTTCCTCTCTGGCAACTGAGTTAGGAAGGACATATGTATCTTTGTAGTGACTGGGTGTAATTATTCACCATCCAAAGCGTAATTAATAACTTCACCATGCTCAATCGGACACTCCATAATTTTTTTTATTTTACCAATTTACCAATAGGTGCCCTTCTTTGCAAGGCATTGGGAAACCTCCCTGGGCTTTGTGGTTGAATCTTCATTTGAAATTCTTCACTGATCCAAATGTTTACTTCTGAACTTATTTAGGCTTCCCACAACAAAGGGGTTGAATACTTATTGACTCAAGACATTTCAGTTTTTCATTTTTAATTAATTTTGAAAAACATAATTCCACTTTGACATTATGAGCTGTTGTGTGTAGGCCAGTGACAAAAAATCTAAATGTAATCATTTTTAAATTCACGGTAGTACCGCCACAGAGTCAGTCATGAGTCATGACCGCAGTAAAGTTTCACGTGACCATTGAGTCACAAAATCTCCTCTTATGCACTCTAGACATGCATTGGCAGTACTCAACTTGTTAACTACCATCAGGTCACTAATGGCTGGCTCTATTGCCCCTGTAACCACTCTGACATCAATGCAAATGCAATCGAAAATCACATCAAACACTTATCATAAAAACATTATTGTGCTTTCAAAACTCGCCTCACTGTGATGATCAATTTGAAAAAAAAAGAAGTTCAATAATAGGTTGAAACTGAGTGCAAAACATGGTCATTGTGGATGTTGTTTCAAAGTCTATAACACAATGAAGTGTACAGCACTTTCTAAGGTGATGATTAATTCAAAACACTCAAATGCATATTACAGCTTATGCATAAGCATAGGCCTATATATGCAAAACCGGAGTATCCAACCCAGCATGATTGAAAAACGAACCAGTGGATACAGATGAGAAGTATTTTTTCCACTGACCCTGTTCCTGACCATTTGATAATAGGCCATTCTAAATCAAAACTAATTTTACATACTAGTAAAGACAAGATTAAATTGAGAATAGTCGGATGGGTGAAAATGTGATTACTTGATGAGAGAACAGCATATGCAGCCTGAGGCAAGGAACAGAGCACAACATTTTTGTTCTACTATCTCAAATCATCAAAGCATATAGTTGCATCATGCAGCCCATATATGTTTAGATTTCTAAGACATTCTAAGATTTGTATCATTCACAACTAAAGTTGCCAAATAATTCTAAAACAGGACCTGTTTCAAATGATCACTTTTACGCTCAACAGAGCCACTTCATATGCACACTTGCTCCGTAATGGGAAAAATATCCTTTCTACTTTATTCAACTAAGTTCAATTATATTCTTCTTTCCATAAAATCATGTAGCCTAATACAAATAATGGCAGAGAACTTATAACCTACAGCCTATGTCATGGTGCATAGCCATGATAACATACAGTAGCCTAGGCCAACTCATATTCTGATCTTCTGAAATACATTTTCTTCATATCATGTTTTTTTAGGCCTGTCTAAAATAAATAATGGATTTATTGTGATGGTGTATATTAAATGAAATTGTTATACTTTTTTTAAATGTAGATGTTCCAAAGGCATGCATCAGTGGATTGTGTAGCTCAGTTGGTAGAGCATGGCGCTTGCAACGTCAGGGTATTGGGTTCGATTCTCACGGGGGGCCAGTATGAAAATGTATGCACTCACTAACTGTAAGTCGCTCTGGATAAGAGCGTCTGCTAAAATGACAAAAAATATGTGGTTTGTATGCTTGGAGGCCTCGAGACGCTAAACGTGTTTATGTTAATTAACGGTAAATTACAGTGAGACTGGCAGTCATTCGAATGACAATAACCGCCTGAGAAAATGTCATGACCATCACAGCCCTGTAACACAACAAATTGTGGAAAAAGTCATTGGTTGTGAATACTTTCTGAAGGCACTGTAGTTATGGTGAAGTTACATTATTCAACAGTTGCATTATTTATGGTACATTTGAAGTGTGTAGCAAGAATGTTGCTTTGCCAAGCCACATCCAAAGGCAAGGCAAGGATTTAATATAAAGAAAAAAGTTGAAAATCTCGTGACCTGTGGAGAGAGACGGCGCTGGTAACAAGTCTAGTTAATCTAAAAACGCTCAAAGTTCCAATTGTTTGTGGAGACCCCATTTACAGTAAACGCTGCATATGTCGGCTTAATTGTCAATTACATCTAAGTGGCACTTAGCCGACAATGTGCAATCGGATCGATTCAATCGGACCAATATTTGTTTGACATTTTAAATTTTTTACACAGAAACAACAGAATACAACAAACACAAAATAAGAGGACCGAGCAAATACCAATTAACTCATGAATAAAAAGAGAAAATAAACAAGATGACAGCAAACAAAAACCAACATAAAACGGGACTCTTTTCAAATAAAACCATTAGCTAAAATCCCGGCCTATACTCTTTTGTTTTCCCCAGATTCCTTCCAGTCAACGTGCAGTCTGAACCTGGCCTCTCTGGCGTACACAGTGATGATCGTGAAGAGCATGGTGTACTGCTGTGGGCTCTCTCTCCTGCTGCACCACAGGAACCTGGGAAGTAGACCCAGCACCGGTAGACCCATCCATTGAAAGGATACGCCCCAGTATGGATAGAGTTGTAGAGGGCTGGGAATAACAAGGATTGTACATCCCATTGTGGTCTCACGTTTCATTTGTATTGCTTTGATTTTTTTCCTGCTTTATTTTTTAGATGCAAAACTATTGTGAGCCATAGACTTACACGTCTTCCAATAACTTCAACAGCCAATTATGACATTAATTGCAGAATATTGAATTTGTATTTCCTATAACTTCAACTGCCAATTATGACATTAATTGCAGAATATTGAATTTGTATTTCCTATAACTTCAACTGCCAATTATGACATTAATTGCAGAATATTGAATTTGTATTTCCTATAACTTCAACTGCCAATTATGACATTAATTGCAGAATATTGAATTTGTATTTCCTATAACTTCAACTGCCAATTACGACATTAATTGCAGAACCTTTAATTGTGTATATTGTGTTTCCCTCCTTAACATTTAAATTAATATCACATTTTACTTTTGATGATTGTGGGAGCTACCTACTGCAGTCACTAGAATAAAGGTTCAATTAAGGTTTTCAGAAAATTAAGGATAGGAAATCTTTAAGGTAGATCCTCATGGTTAAAATGTAGATTGTTTTATGAAAGTTGGCCTGCACTATCTGCCATAGTGGTAAATTATTTTCACATCTGTATTTGAATTATACACAAATATTTACCTAAATATTATATCTATCTAAATATTTTATTATTAAATATGTATGCCCATGAGTTCTAAATATGTATCATTATCCAAAATAATATTTAGTAACTTGTCATGTGTGTAATGAAGTGTAATATATATGTTTTAAAGAAATTAACATAGTATTTCATGTCTTAATTCAATTATTTAATTAACTTACCATGAATAATATAAAATCCAGCTTTTATTTTTGATTTAAAGAACTAAATGGTGACTGCTTATTGAGCAGACAAATTGGTCTATGAGTGAAATCAATAATTTGTGCTTTTTTACATTGATACAATGTTGTTGTTGTTGTCTTTTTACATTAATAAGGCTTGTATAATGAGTGATATTTACCTTATGTAAGACAGCCTATCTAGTGAGCAGCGTTTCTCAAAATAACCATATCTTTCAGATGGGGATGGGTTTAAAAATCGCTGCCTTCGTGAAAGAAAAGTTACAACAAACATTGTTCAACTGTGCTGTTTTTTTTATGAGGAAAATGTCACCATAATAGAAAATAAAGGTTACTTAAAACCCCCAAAACATTGTATTTCTTTACTATAAGATCATCTATTCTTTTTTGTGAAAATGTTATTTAATTGAATCTTTTAGAAACGGAACAATAAGATAATAAGATCCCTTATTCTCTGTTTTCAACCTGTTTGCTTGAATCTGCATGTCCCGACGCAGGTGTTGAGCCCCAGTAGTGGTGGGAAAATGTGGTTAATATGTTTCTTTGGTTTTCTAATGAAAGGTGAAACGGTAGTTAACGGAAACAATATATAGCTGCATAACCACAGCTCGATTGTGTGATGAGTTATTCAAAGTTGCTGGATGTTTCATTTGTACATTTAAGTCATTTAGCAACTTCTTAAGTCATTTAGCAGAGGCCTCTTATCCAGAGTGACTTACAGGAGCAATTAGAGTTAAGTGCCTTGCTCAAGGGCACATCAACAGATTTGTCAACTAATCGGCTTGGGTATTCGAACCAGCGACCTTTCAGTTAATGGCGCAACACTCTTAACCAATGTACGCTTTCTGCCGCCCCGCGGGTCCATTTTACTTTTGATGATTGTGGGAGCTTTTCTTTAAAATAAGGAGAGCACATCTTGAAGGTAGATCCTTATGATTCAAATGTAGACTGTTTTATGAACATTGCCCTGCAATATCTGTCCTAGTGGTTAATTATTTTAACAAAATCTGTATTTGATTTATACAACAATATTCACCTAATTATTATATCTACCTAAATATTTATTATTAAATATGAGTTCTAAATATGTATCATTATTCAAAATATTCTCAAATTCGAGAATATGAAAGTGATGGGCAGACAAGATGATTACATAATGGTAGCTTAATGTTCTTGCATTTGTAGAATAGTAAGCCTATGGCAAAACAATCTCTTCATACTTCTGTTTATCTGAACTTACTTACTTGAGACAATCAAATTACACAGAAATTAAATGAAATCAGGGTTGGAGCGTTTAATGTATTGGTAACATATCGTTTACCAGGAAATGAATATGGTTATCAAGAAAAGTAGTAAATACAGTAGAGGTAACGTACGTTTCCACGTTATTACCCATTTATTCTGTGCTGTACTGTAAAGTGCAACCGAAATGTCTTATTAATTGCATTTTTTTTGTCTACACTTCCCAAAGAAGGCCCTTTAACAATATGTGCAAATGTACATTTGTATTTAAATCTAGTGAAATACAACAAATTACTTATATAATACTATAATTAACGGTAATGAATCATACCATTTTCACTTTCATCCAAAAATCTAAATACTAAGATGAGTACAACCAATATCAAACTCATAAAAAGCTAGATACACAGTATTGCTTCAATGAATTAAAAAGCAATGTAATTCTTGATCAAATGTGGTAAATAACTGTAACTTCTTAAATTCACACATTCTTGCCACTGTAAAACATGTACTTGGTGCCTTGAATGGTGGACATTATTAATTTACTGTATTGAATAAAGATAAAAGAATACTCTCTTTAGTGGGTATTCTATATTAAAACGATGAGGCCAGGATTCAATCTGGTTGCGCTTTGTCGTCTACAGTTTTGACAGTTTGTTAGCTACGTGCAGCAGGATGTTTTTGTCACACATCAACACTTGCTAATGGTGACGATGGTTGTGGCATTTCTGTTGTTTGATCAGTGACATATACAAGTTTCCAGTAAAGTAGGCGACCTAATCATTTCCAACATGAGTGTCTTGGTATATTTGTCATACTGTACATCTTTGAATTATTGATTGTGGTGTAAACATGCTCTGACAATCTCCAATTCAACCTCTGATGCTAGTTCATAAAGCATAGTAGAGTGTTACTATATTTGTCTTGTTTAGGACAAAGATGGATATTTGGCATGGTCATAGGTTTGTTGTTCTTTGCTCACATCACCACATCATTACTTAGAACTTTGGTGAACTATACATCTTAAATGGTATATGAAAATGCTGTAAAATAATAATAACAGAACATCAGTGATAGCAGATCTAGACAAAATCAACAGTCCCATTCATAAGATTGAACAGATAAAATGTGAACCATTTCTCTATTCAACTTGATTTCTCAAAAAATGATTTATAGGCTTATGTTTTAGCACCATCTTGTGGAGAAAGACGCAGGGGAGCAATGTCAGTATCAAAGGAGTAACCTGGGATTGGTACATAGAGGTCTACATCAAAAGTCTCAAATTTAGTTAGGAGGACCTCAAATAAGGATACACCTAGATTGTATCACTTTGCTGAGTAGTATTGATAATTCAATCTAGTACAGGCTTAACTGAATGACAACAGAAGCAGAATACCATGTGGAATTTTATTGAATAGTTTGGGGTAGGCCGTGTCGCAGAGGAATGCTCCTCAGAGCCAGATGCTGTTGACAGGTTGCCCTATGCTGGACAGCTGCCAACGAAACCCCACCAGCTGGGAGAACAAGGATCCGATGACTGACATTTAGGTTATATGCTTCTGGTGGTGGAAGGTCGTTGGAAGACTGTTGCTGCAAAACGTCAAGTGAGAGACAAGGGGCGAGTTGACATATAAATACTCCCCTAGATTTATGCCCATTGGTTGACAGAAAAGCAGTGATTATCGCACAAGTGAGCCCATAGGTTAATCAGCAAGCATGGTAGTGTGACATGATCATTGGCTGAAGTTAATAGGTGAATGACATAGAGCCCCAGAGTGGAGGTGTCATAATACCCATAAATCCTAGTGGTCAAACAGGGAAATGGTTCCAATTGTTTTTCTATCATACATTATTCCCATAGGGAATTTTAGAGTTTGGGAAACCCTGGTCCCTCTAATTACCCTTTTTTACCCTATCTCTGTGTCTCCCCTGCTGGAGGGCCCTAGGATCACAGCTGAGGACACTCTGGTCGATGACTCCTGGGCTTGCCAGGGCTGAGCCCACCTGGTTGTGCTGTTGATCCTGGTCCTCTGAGCCCACTATTCTAGTGGCACTCCCTTTGTAATGAGAGATCTGTCACAAAACACTAGTTGCAAATCACCATGTGAAAAAAATTGAAAATACGCAATAAAGCAATGTAATAATTTATTAAATGTACTAATAAATAAATATGTACATAATTTAACATTCAAATTATTATTATTAAACATACTGTACATTGGGCTCTAGCTGAACTGGAAGATTGTTAGTATAGAATGTTATAACTAGGCCTATTGTACGGGTTACTGCTAGTGCTACACAGCTTGCCATCATGTATACAGTTAATAACAGTAAGTACAGTTATTTTAACAGTAAAATTCAGTCTTAGGCCATATCATTGGAGAGGCGTGCAAGATATTCGTATACCTACTGAGCTAACATATGGAATTGTTTTAAGATGGTCATACCATGGATCATTGACTTATTTGATTTAGAATTTTAGGACCCCTTTAGGTATCAACATAAATATAAAAAAATGATTTGATAAAATATTAAATTTGGCCTTTAATACTATAGCACATAGAAACGCATTAAACAACACATTTATAAATGGCAAAAAAGACAGTAAAAAAAATAATCATAAGGAATAAGGTTTTGAAGTGCATGACATATATGTAGGAGACATAAGAAAGCTCAGGAAATATATATACAGTATATATTTTGGACATTTTATCCCGTTTGTATGGGTTACCTTTAGATGAGTCCCGTGACACTTGTGGGGGTTGTAGAGCACAATCGAGAACACCATCGTGTTCGTGAGAGTTTCATCTTTCCATATTAGTTAGTAGGCCAACTTTACAGATGTTTTCATCAGAAGACCAATTTTCGGGAT